AGCCCCTCAGGGACGGCAAGGTCCCGCTCAGATCTGCGCGGTGCCTCACTCCGCTGGAACCACCAGCAGACCTTGAAAATGGCGACAATTTCGCAGATCGCAGCCCCCCAGGGACGGCGAGGTCCCGCTAAGATCTGCGCAGTGCCTCACTCCGCTGGACCCGCCAGCAGCCTGCGAAAGTGGCTACAGTTCCGCAGATCGTTACGCTGGCCCCCCAAGCAGCCCTCGAAAGTTGCGACGCTTTCGCAGATCGCAGCCCCCCAAGGACGGCGAGGTCCCGCTCAGGTCTGCGCGGTGCCTCATTCCGCTGGACCCACCAGCAGCCCTCGAAAGTGGCGACCGTTTCGCACATCGCAGCCCCCCAAGGACGGCGAGGTTTCGCTCTGATCTGCGCGGCGCCTCACTCCGCAGGACCCACCAGCAGCCCTCGAAAGTGGCGACAGTTTCGCAGATCGCAGCCCCCCAGGAACGGTGAGGTCTCGCTCAGGTCTGCGTGGTGCCTCACTCCGCAGGACCCACCAGCAGCCATCGAAAAAGGCGACAGTTTCGCAGATCGCAGCTCCCCAGGGACGGCGAGGTCACGCTCAGGTCCACGCGGTGCTTCACTCCGCTGGACCCACCAGCGGCCTTCGAAAGAGGCGACAGTTTCGCAGATCGCAGCTCCCCAGGGACGGCGAGGTCTCGCTCAGGTCCGCGCGGTGCCTCACTCCTCTGGACCCACCAGCAGCCCTCAAAAGTGGCGGCAGTTTCGCAGATCGCAGCCCCCCCAGGGACGACGAGGTATCGTTCAGGTCCGCGCGGTGCGTCACTCCGCTGGACCCGCCAGCAACCTTCGAAAGTGGCTACAGTTCCGCAGATCGCAGCCCCCCAGGCACGGCGAACTCTCGCTCAGGTCCGCGCGGTTCACTCCGCTGGACCAACCAGCAACTTTCGAAAGCGACGACAATTCCGCAGATTGCAGCCCCCTGGGCAAGGCGAGGTTTCGCTTAGGTCCGCGCGGTGCCTCACTCCGCTGGACCCACCAGCAGCCCTCGAAAGCGGCGACAGTTTCGCAGATCGCAGCCCCCCAAGGACGGCGAGGTCTCGCTCAGGTCCGCGCGGTGCCTCACTCCGCTGGACCCACCAGCAGCCCTCGAAAGTGGCGACAGTTTCGCAGATTGGAGCCTCCCAGGCACGGCGAGGTCCTGCTCAGGTCCGCGCGGTGCCTCACTCCGCTGGGACCCACCAGCAGCCCTCGAAAGTGGCGACGGTTTCGCAGATCGCAGCCCCCCATGGACGGCGAGGTCTCGCTCAGGTCCGCGCGGTGCCTCACTCCGCAGGACCCACCAGCAGCCCTCGAAAGTGGCGACGGTTTCGCAGATCGCAACCCCCATCGTCGGCGAAGAGAAGGCAGTAGGAGGTGGGAGGCGGGAGAAGGAGGAGGAGGAGGAGGAGGAGGAGGAGGAGGGACGCGACCACAGTGCTCTATTCAAAACGAATACCCAACCAAGGAGGTTGGGAAAAAAACAACCTTGGATCAAAAACTCGCCGTGGTGCAAGTCTCCTTCTAAAGGAATGAATAAAATTGCAGTAAGAGTAATGGTACTTCAAGGTTGCGAAAGCCCGCACTTATTCTACACATCCTAAGTGGTTTCACAAAGTCGGGCTAGAGCCAAGCTCAACAAGGTCTTCTTTCCCCGCTGATTATCCCAAACCCGTTCCCTTGGCTGTGGTTTCGTTCGGTAGTAAGTATGGACAGCGGGAATCTCGTTCATCCACTCACGCGCGTCACTCCGCACCATGGCAAATTCGCCCCCGTCTGGCGCTGGCCATTGGCATCGCGCAGCTAGAGCATGGCGCGCGCGCCCCGAGGGCAGAATATCGACGTCGCCCCACGTCAGCGACGGCATCTCCCCGCACCGGATGAGCGTCGCACCATGGCAGCAGGAGCGCAGCAGCTCCACGCGCGCCCGCCCCGGCGAGGCTCCAGCAAACGCCAGCGCGACCTGCGGCCCGGTCGGGGGCGCCCGCCCCCTGGCGGCCCCAGTCGCTTCCACGTCCGCGCCAGCCGCCATCTCTCCCACAGGTGCCCTCGCACGACAGGAAGTGATGTCTCACGCCTGCAATCGCAGCGCTGACGTCCACGAGCGAGCCGCATCCAGCCCAGAGGGCTTCGACATAGGCCGCCAGCCCTGCCTCGACCTGAGCTGGAGAGCCCACTGGGCGCCGTTCAGCACTTCAGACGTCCAAGACGCTGATCACCGCCGTCTGGCACCTCTGGCGCGTCAGCGCTGAGACCGCGCCCTCGCGCAGCTTCACGTTGCGACCCTGCGCCTGCCTCGCCATCGCCTCGGCTGCCCCTCGCTTGACCCTGCTAGCCGCCGCCTCTGGCCCAGCGCGAGGGCGCGTCGGCGGGCAGATCGCCCGCGTCGCAGCACCCATATAGCGGGCAGCCCGTCGTCGCATGCAGCAGGGCGTTGAGCCGCCTGATCCCGCCCTGGATACCTACTCGCGCTGGTCCAGCACTTGGCCCTGACGGCAGCGACCGCCCGGGCATCCTGAATGCGCAGATACCTGCAGCGGCGTCGCTCGACACTCCTGCAGCGCCAGAGGGCCCCAGCAACTGCCGCCCCCAGCTCCAACGCCGAGACGCGGGCGGGCCTCGCTCGCGGGAAGCTCTCGGCGATCCTCCGCGCCCAGAGCGACGCCCTCAGCGAGGACCTCGGCCAGGCGCGCGCCTGGCGCGGCGCGTTGGCGCCCAGCCCGACGTCTGCGCCCCCGCGGTCGGCGACCAGCAGAAACTCCGCGATGGGGGCCCGCTCCAAGACCCGGTCGAAGTGGCCATCCTCGCGGAAGTTGGCCGCCAAGTTCCAGCCGGGCCCCCGCTCGCTCACGGCCAGGCGCAGGCTCGGCGGGACTGGCGCGCCGAAGGCCCCCACTCGAACCAGCCACGAGCCAAAAAGGAACACCGCGGTCTGGACTTCGAAAGCTTTTCCCATCAGCCCCTCCACAGTGATGACCCTTTCCTCGCGAGGGACGCCACCCTCCACTGCGGCCTCGAAGCATCGGCGGCCGAAGCCCACGAGCACTTCACGCCCCTCGGGGCCAGGCAGCCGGCCGCGGGCCCTATCAGCGCCCCACAACAGGCAGCCATCCTCGCAGTAACAAACCCGATTTCGGCACCCGTCTGCCACCCATCGGCGCCGGGCCTCCGGGGTCGCCCTCATGGCCCCCGGGCCCGATGGGGAGGGGGCCGCCCGACGACGGGCCTCGCGGAGCACGGGGGGCCCACCTCCGCCCACGGGCCCAGGAGGCTCAAGCCTGCAAGCGGCCACGCGTCAGCCGCGGCCCGCGCCGGCACAGGCTCCACCATGAAGTGGCACTCCCTGATTGCAGGCGATGGCAGCGCCCCTGCCCACGCGCGCTCGAGCGCCCCACGGGCACCAGATGAGCCGAGGGCGCCACGCCCTCGCGAACGTCTCGGCGTTTAACAGCAGCGGGGCCACGCCGAGGACATCGGTGAACTGCGCTCTGGCCTCTGCCCCCATGCTGAACACATTTTCGACGAACCACGCGACGTCCGCGGGGGCGACCTCCCCAGCTGCTTCGAAAAAGAGCTGCGAGCGGCCGCCGGCCAACTATTCGCCCGCGACGCTGCGCCCAGACAGGTCCTGGCAAGAGCTCCCAGCCGCAACGATGACCCAGTCCGCGTCGCGCTCCAGCTGCCCAAGCGCCCGAGCCAGCCTCCTAGCGTCGACGGCCACGATGCCTCCCAGCTCGATGACCCCTGGCCAGCGGCACCATGCGGCGGGCAGCAGGGTCGATCTCGCAACTGAGGTGGGCGACCACGCCCAGGGGCACGCGCGCTGCCGCGACCGCAGCTGCCGCGGCCCCTGCAAAGAGCTCACCAAAAAGACCCGCGGCCGCCAACGCACACTCCGCGGCGCCTCGAAGGCCAGCTGCGGGCGACCCACCGCAACCGTGGCCACGCCCACAGCAGCGGCGAGGCCTTCCTCGGAGAGGCCGGCAGAGTGGCGATCCCTCCAACACGCTCGCTGGCGTCCGAAGCGATGGCGCAGGCGTCGACCTGGGCACGGAGGACCAGGAAGGCCGGGGGCATCGCCAGGCAGAAGCCCAGGATCTCGGCGCACATCTGGCGCGGCAGGGCACGCGGGCCCCCCCACCGCCCGATAGCCCACACCTCGTTCAAGAACCTCGCGAAGGGCCGCCTGAACTCCGCCGAGCGAACGAGACGGCCCAGGAGCGCCAGAACTGCCCTGGAGTCATGAGCGGGCTGGCCCATACACCGCAGCGCGTAGCCGAGCAGCATGCGCAACGTGCTCGGAAAGACGCCGACGCGGTCGACCCAGCCGCCAATGCCAGCCCCCATCGGCTCCAAGACCAACTCGCGATGGCGCGCCCTCTCGACGGCGACGCCGATGCCAGGGCGCCGGCAAGCGGCCCGCTGCTCGACCTGCGCCTGGCCCATGGTGCCCTGGAGCTGGCCCGCGACGGAACTCGGGGCCACCTCGCCGTTGCCCCAGTCGTCGACGTAGTACTGGACCCAAGTCCGCGCGAGCTCCTTCGACGGAAAAGGAGGTGAGCGGTCCTTGCGCCAGTCGACCAAGGGCCAGCAGGGGCCGCTTGCCAAACCGAAGCCACCTGTGGCAGCGCTGGAACGCGGTGACCGCGCTGAGCCAGCCCATGGGGATCACGCGCAGCGCGACGCGCGCCCACCCTGGCCCCGCCACCCAATGAGCCCGCCGGGAACTGCCCGCGCAAGCGCCATGAAGGGCCACCGCGCCTCAGGCAATCGCCTAGGAGTAGAACGCCAAGGCCCGGCCATCTGATGACCACAACAACATGTGCCCATCGGGCACCAGGACCGCGAACCACGAGGGCGACGCGGTCAAGGTCCCGATGTCGTCCCGCATCTACCACTGGTAGCTGTTGGCTGGCACCACGTTGATAATGGGGCGCTGCACAGTGGAATGCCTGGCGGCGGGCCCCCCACTCTCGACTATGCCGAAGGCGCCCGCCAAGACTTTCGCGTTGCCCACCACGAAGATCTTCTCATCAGCGATAGGCGCGGCCAGCCCAAGCTCGACCAGCTTCGCCGAGATGCTGTGCCATTCCTGCCTCGTGGCCGTCTGGATAGCCGCCATCGGGACCTTCTCCGGCCACTCGTCGCGGGGCAACAAGGCCAGCGAAGGGCCTACAGGCCGCCCGACGACATGCTCGTCGGCAACGTCAATCGCCTGCAAGGCGGCCGCTACGCCATTCGGTGGGAGCCCTGGAAAGATCCCTCCAAGCGTGAATGGGAGGACGCGCGCCACATCCTCGCCGCTGTAGTCCAGGTCCTTGGACGCGTTGACCTCAGCCCAGTCCGGCAGCGCGAGCTCCTCGGCTGAGCTTTGCGCGACATATTATGCTGCCTATCGCACCAAGCGCAAGGCAGTCTGCTGGGCCAGCGTGGCCCAGCTGCTGCTGGGCTGCATCTCCTGCACGTTGCCCACGCACTGGTGGCTCAAGATCACCGCCAGCTGCGCCGGGCACTCGGCAACAGCCGAACCTCGGAGCGTCGGGGATTGGCGCGAATCGCGCCGACGAAGTTGACGGTGCGCCCTTCCGAACAAGCCGCCCGATCGCCCCGGGAGAGCTCCGAGCTGCCTCGCGCACCGACTGGGCCAGCCAAAACTCGAACGCGACCCTGGACCAACCAGCAGCCAGCGCCCGTCGTCAGCGTCGCGCCTGCGGCGCGGCCTGCAGCGCTCCCTCCAGCCGCCGCGGCGCCGCGCCAGCGCTCGGCCCCTGCGCCAGCGGGGTGCTGCGCGGCGGCGAGCGCCCTGATCAGCATGCCCCCGCGCCTCGCAGCCTGGCTCCTCTACCTCGGCCGACAGCGCCATGGGGGGGGCCAGCGCCGCCGAGGGCGCAGAGAGCAGCGCGGGGGGCACGCCTCCGCTGCAGCCGAGCTCCTGCGCAGCACGGCCCTGACCGCGTCTGGGAGACCCCTCGGCAGCCCAGGGCGAGAGTCGCTCCGCGACCCCGACCTGCTCTTCGGCCAGCTCCGCGACCACAACCTGCTCCTCCTCCCATGGGGCGGGCATGCCGCCTTTGAGCCCATCGCGAGGCGCGCCTTCCACTGAGACCTGGCCTCCCCCTCGAGGCGAGCTCGGCCCCGCCGCCAGGGCGACCGCGCGGGGGCCGCCGGGGCGGGCGCCTCGGCCTCGGAGCCGCTCGCGACGTAGACACCCCGGCTCGCCCCCCGGCTCTCGGGGGCAGGCGGGCGGGGCTCCGCGGCCGAAAGCGGTCGGTCCAGCGGCGCCAGGGCCCCCGCTGGCGGCGGCGGCAACGGCCGCGGGGCCACCACGCCAGGCACCAGGCCAGCAGGGATTCCCAGCGACCTGGCAGACCACTAGACGCGCGCCCCAGCAAAGGCCCGGGCCCTCGCTGTCGCGAAGGCCGGGCCTGCAGGCGCTGCCCCCCCTCACTGGAGAGAGCTCCCAGCTGGACCCTAGGCCGGCCGCCGCCCCCACAGGCGTCGCGCAGTCGCCCCCTAGGCCGGCCGCCGCAGGCCTGCTGGCGTGTCGGTCCGAAAGGCGACCTCCACGCACAGCATCTCCTTGCTCTGGGGCTCGCCATCGTGGTCGTAAGCCGCGATGAACAGCGAGTCGTCTGGGTTCACCCGCAGCTAGCTGACGATATCCCCAGGAAGGAAGGGCCATTTCATGGCCCTCGGACCTCGCAAAAGCGGAGCGGCATCCAGCGACGCTCAGGTGCGGGAAAGTGGCCGACCCGCCTCGCGGCGCCTCTGGTCGTGAGCCCCGCGGGCCACAAACCACAGGCCACGAGGAAGCGACCCCACACGGCGATTCAGAAGGTGTGGCGGTTTACTATCCTCGAGGTCCTCGGGCCGAAAAAAACTATTGAGGGCACGGCCTTGCCCAGTGCTGTAGAATCTAGCCCGCGAGGCGGGTGTCTGGCGGTCAAGCGGGGCTTGATTTAGGCCCTGACCCACCCCTGGATGTAAATCTGCCATGAAGCCTGTGCTCGGCGGCACGCCCAACAGGGGGTGACTGTGGCAGGCATAGACCCCCTCACATGGTTACTATCTAAATATAGTATAGATTTACATTACCAATATATGAATGTGCGTACATACATACATACATACATACATACATACATACATACATACATGCATACAGACAGACAGACAGACAGACAGACAGGCATGCATGCATGCATATATGTAGATAAATATATATATATATACAAACATACATACATATACATATACATATACATATACCGATACATATACCGATACATATACATATACATTCCTTCTACCTATCAAATTACAAGGAAAAACCCGGCATGTCACCGACACCCCCCCCCACATGGACCCCAGATGAACCCCACAGGCTCCCAAGAGAGCCCCACAATGCTTCGAGACGGCCCAAAATACCCCGAAGAGAGCGACACGAGGCCTACATCGGGAGCCCAAGACAGCAGAAGGCACTTCCGAGACGCCCTCTGCAAGGCCCAAGAGGCCCCAAGACGGCCCCATAGTGCTCCAACAGGATCAAACATGGGCTCAAGACTGTCCAGGATGCCCCCGCAAAGACCTCCAACACGGCCTCAGCAGGCCAAAAACCTTAATTTTCCATGTATTTTTGAACGATTTTGTGCTTCTCGCCTTTTCTGGCCACGAACGGCCCAATAATGATCTGCGAGCTTCCGAGGTCGCCCCGAAATGGCTTCCAGGCGGCCCAATGGGGCCCCAAGATGGGTCAATGAAGCGCAAAGAAAGCCAGGGAGCGCCCAAGAGACCCCTAAAAGACCCCCAAGAGGGCTCCAACAGAGTCACGGGATGCTTCAGAGAGGGCCCGAGAGAGCCCCAACACGGCCCCAGGACGGCCCAAGCCCCCCCAGACAGCCCACGAGGGCCCCAGGACAGCCCAAGAAGGCCCTCCGATGGTATACAAAAGCACCAACAGGAGCTCCACTCAGTCTTAGAGCCGTCAAATTCTTTACACTCTGATTGACCTGAGCGGCCCCCCCCATCGCCCCTAGTTCTTCTCAACCTCGCCCCAAGACGGCACATGAGGCCCTGCAGACATCCCCACTAGAGCCCAAGAGGGTTCCAAGATAACTCTCGGCATGACCTACTCGGACGTCCGACAGCCCATCTCTCGTCCTTCTCTACCTCCTCCTCCTCCGTTTCCCCCTCTCTGCCCCTCATCCCCTCCTCAACCTCCTTCTTCCCTCGAACTCGTCGCCTTCCTCCTCCTCCTCGTCCTCCTCCTCCTCCTCCTCCATCGCCCTCTCCTCATTTGCCTCCACCGACTCCGGGATACGAAAACTGATACCCATTTTCTCAGGAGGTTTTCTCCTGATCCTCCTCCAGCTGCTCCTTCGAGGCTCTGAAGACATCCCCAAGAAAGTCCAAGAAGGTTCCAACCTAACTCTCGACACCAACTCTTCGGAAATCTCCTCCTTCGAGGCTCTGAAGACATCCCCAAGAAAGTCCAAGAAGGTTCCAACCTAACTCTCGACACCAACTCTTCGGAAATCTCCTCCCAACCTCCTTCTGCTGCTCCTCCTCCTCCGGCTCTTTATCCTCCTGCTCCTCTTGCTCCTCCTGTAGTTCGTTGTCTTCCTCCTCCGCTGCCTCGTCAAAAGCCCCAGACCACATACTCTTATCACAAGCTCCCCAAAAGCAACCAGGGGTGCCAAGACAGACCAAGGGGGCTCCGAAGAGGGCCCACGACAGGCTTCCAGGGTCCGGGGAACCACAATTTGATGCGCAGTTCTCCTTTCGTCTCAGGAGCCCACGGAACACTCGCGAGAACTAAAACATACCCCAGACCCCAGACTGCTATCACCAGCTCCCCTGAAGAACCCACGAGACTCCTGGACGGTCCAAGAAGACCCCACCACGGGCCTACGACAAGGCTTCCTCTTGCTCTTCCTCCTCCTGCTCCTCTCTCTCCTGTAGTTCGCTGTCTTCCTTCTCCGCTGCCTTCTGAAGGGCCCCAGATCTGAGACTCATATCCAAGCTCACCAAAGACACCAAGGCGCCACAAGACACACCTCGGGGGCCCCAAAGAGATCCCACGACAGGCTTCCAGGGTCCGGGGAACCACAATTTGATGCGCAGTTCTCCTTTCGTCTCAGGAGCCCACGGAACACTCGGGAGAACTAAAACATACCCCAGACCCCAGACTGCTATCACCAGCTCCCCTGAAGAACCCACGAGACTCCTGGACGGTCCAAGAAGACCCCACCACGGGCCTACGACAAGGCTTCCTCTTGCTCTTCCTCCTCCTGCTCCTCTCTCTCCTGTAGTTCGCTGTCTTCCTTCTCCGCTGCCTTCTGAAGGGCCCCAGATCTGAGACTCATATCCAAGCTCCCCAAAGACACCAAGGCGCCACAGGACACACCTCGGGGGCCCCAAAGAGATCCCACGACAGGCTTCCAGGGTCTGGGGAACCACAATTTGATGCGTAGTTCTCCTTCCGTCTCAGAAGCCCACGGAACACTCGCGAGAACTAAAACATACCCCAGACCCCAGACTGCTATCACCAGCTCCCCTGAAGAACCCACGAGACTCCTGGACGGTCCAAGAAGACCCCACCACGGGCCTACGACAAGGCTTCCTCTTGCTCTTCCTCCTCCTGCTCCTCTCTCTCCTGTAGTTCGCTGTCTTCCTTCTCCGCTGCCTTCTGAAGGGCCCCAGATCTGAGACTCATATCCAAGCTCCCCAAAGACACCAAGGCGCCACAAGACACACCTCGGGGGCCCCAAAGAGATCCCACGACAGGCTTCCAAGGTCTGGGGAACCACAATTTGATGCGCAGTTCTCCTTTCGTCTCAGAAGCCCACAGAACACTCGCGAAAACTAAAACATACCCCAGACCCCAGACTGCTATCACCAGCTCCCCTGAAGAACCCACGAGACTCCTGGACGGCCCAAGAAGACCCCACCACGGGCCTACGACAAGGCTTCCTCTTGCTCTTCCTCCTCCTGCTCCTCTCTCTCCTATAGTTCGCTGTCTTCCTTCTGCGCTGCCTTCTGAAGGGCCCCAGATCTGAGACTCATATCCAAGCTCCCCAAAGACACCAAGGCGCCACAAGACACACCTCGGAGCCCCAAAGAGATCCCACGACAGGCTTCCAGGGTCTGGAGAACCACAATTTGATGCGCAGTTCTCCTTCCGTCTCAGAAGCCCACGGAACACTCGCGAGAACTAAAACATACCCCAGACCCCAGACTGCTATCACCAGCTCACCTGAAGAACCCACGAGACTCCTGGACGGTCCAAGAAGACCCCACCACGGGCCTACGACAAAGCTTCCTCTTGCTCTTCCTCCTCCTGCTCCTCTCTCTCCTGTAGTTCGCTGTCTTGCTTCTCCGCTGCCTTCTGAGGGGCCCCAGATCTGAGACTCATATCCAAGCTCTATCTTGAGCCATGCTTGGCTATCTTGGGCCATTTTGGAGGCCATCTTGGGTTATCTAGGGCTCTCTTGGAGCCAT